GAGAGAGAGACGGAGGAGAGAGAGACGGAGGAGAGAGAGAGACGGAGGAGGGACAGGCGGAGGAGAGAGAGAGACGGAGGAGAGACAGACGGAGGAGAGAGAGGGTGTTTGACAGAGGAAGAGGAAGCAGAGTAAAGAAGAGGTGAAGATGTTTTATACTTTAAATCTTAATTATTCAGTTTTTCACTGAACCAGAAACAACTTGATCATGAAAACCACGAAACAATAATAATTATAATAATAACGATAGAATCTTCTAACAAAATATATCGTTACCTTGGCAACAGAATAAACAACAATATATAATAATATACATAGAACACGGGTCCTGTAGTTTTTATACATTTTAAAGAACCGTCACATATTTAATCTGCTGCTGATCATGTGATCTCTACTACTGAGAGGAGGGAGGAGAGAGGAGGGAGAGAGGAGGGAGGAGAGAGAGGAGGGAGAGAGAGAGAGGAGGGAGGAGAGGGAGAAGAGAGAGGAGGGAGAGGAGGGAGGAGAGAGAGAGGAGGGAGAGAGGAGAGAGAGGAGGGAGAGAGGAGAGAGAGGAGGGAGGAGAGAGAGAGGAGGGAGAGGAGGGAGGAGAGAGAGAGGAGAGAGAGGAGGGAGGAGAGAGAGAGGAGGGAGGAGAGAGAGAGGTGGGAGGAGAGAGGAGGGAGAGGAGAGAGAGGAGGGAGAAGAGAGAGGAGGGAGGAGAGAGAGGAGGGAGGAGAGAGAGAGGAGGGAGGCGAGAGAGAGGAGGGAGAGAGAGAGAGGAGGGAGAGAGAGAGGAGGGAGGAGAGAGGAGGGAGAGGAGGGAGGAGAGAGAGGAGGGAGGAGAGAGGAGGGAGGAGAGAGAGGAGGGAGGAGAGAGAGAGGTGGGAGAGGAGAGAGAGGAGGGAGAAGAGAGAGGAGAGAGAGAGAGGAGTGAGAGGAGAGAGAGAGAGACGAGGGAGAGAGGAGTGAGAGAGAGAGAGAGAGAGAGGAGTGCTCTGGTGTAATTTGATGTAAGGGGGTCTCAGCAGGTGCTCGTCTCCTTCGCATTACCAAATTTAGATTGACTCCTAATCCAGCACACACACAGGCCACCAGGCCGAGGAGGGGAAGAGGTGAGCGGAGGAGGAGAAGGAGAACAAGGAGCTGGGAGGAGAACAAGGAGCTGGGAGGAGGGGGGGAGCAGGAGGAGAGGGGGCTAAATTAAGGAGAGGAGGAGTAAAGACTTGAGGTGGTGGGAGGGCTGAGAGGAGGCGGGGCTGAGGCTAAATCGGGTTGCTATGGGACACCAGAGGACAGCTGAGGAGGCAGGATTCCTGAGGTGAACTGTAAAGCTTCCAAGACAGAAGGAGGAGGAGGAGGAGGAGGAGGAGGAAGATGAGGAGATCTAAAATAATAAAGTGGACAACGTGTGGGGACACGAGCAGTTCACCGACTCCACCGACTTCACCGACTTCACCGGGACGAACTGGAGACGGACTCCAGATCCACTGAAGCTTCATCAGACTCAAGCTTCAGTTATCTGTCCCACCTGCACCTCCCCTCCGCCTCCCCTCCCCTCCCCCGTCTGTCCACACCTGTCGGTCTGGCCTGGCTCAGCTCGGCCTTCTTGTTAAATGAGGTCATGGTGAATGCCTGTCATAACTCCACCCCCCCACCGTGTTCACACACATCTGACCAGGACACTGAGATGGCTCCGCACACTCGTCTATGTCTGAACACACACACACACACACACCCCCCCCCACACACACACACACACACTCCAGTTTTTGTGCTACGCTAGGCTAACAGCTCCATTGGTTTCCAGTGTTGGTCCTAGAATAGGCTAATAAGGCTAGGGTTTGTGTGTGTGTGTCTGCTCGTCTCTGTCGCTGTTCACACATGTATTTAGTTACTGATCGACGATGTCGGATCATGAATCCGGATCGTTCTGATGTTCTGTCTGTGCGTGTCACGTTACGTCTCGTGTTGTGGGTTTAAATACTTGTCTCATAAGCAAATCAAACAAAAACAAAGAAAACTTCATCACTGTTCAGATCCTAATAACTTCTGATCAGTGTTGGTGTTTATTGTTAACATGTTAAGTGCGGCAGGTCAGCAGGAGAGTGAGGTGGAGCATGCGGCAGGTTCATACAACACAGAACAAGGATACTTCACATGTAATGTGGCTGATCCTAAAGTAATAATTTTGCAGCTACAGTTTGGTATTGTTCGGTATCTCTGGTATTGAAAAAAATCAATTTGTTACTGAAGTATTGGTTCTTGTGACATCCCTACGTCTGTATAATGTCTATAGAAAATGTGCACAACGTCTTCATAATATTT